TTCATCCTTGCGAGTAGTGGTGGCTAACGGAGAAAGGTTACGAAGCTTAGGGGTGTGTAAAGAGGTAACACTCAACATTCAGAATACTCAATTTCTTGTTGATTTTTACTTAATTGAACTAGAAGGGTGTGGCGCCGTGTTGGGAACACAATGGTTGCGAACTTTGGGTCCCATAGTGTGGAATTTTGCCACCATGGAGATGAATTTTGCGGTGGGGGGAAATAGAGAGAAACTCGTGGGGGTGGGACAACACGAGGCGAAATAGGTGGGGGCTCGAGTAGTAGATCAGGCCCTAAAGAGAAGTAATGGAACCGGGTTGTTACTGCAGATTCAGGTGCTGGAAGAGAATAAGGAGAAAGGGTTTGACTATGGAGAATAGGAACCTTGGGTACAAAAATATCCCACTGTGTTTGGAAAACTTAAAGGCCTACCCCCTAAGCGGAGTCATGACCACCGCATTCCCCTGTTGCCTGAAAGTGGACCAGTGAGCTTGCACCCTTACCGATACCCCTACTACCAGAAACAAGAGATCGAGAAGATGGTCGATGACATGCTACAACAAAGAATCATACATGTTAGTCGCAGCCCTTATTCTTCCCCAGTTTTACTCGTCAGGAAACACGACGGGACTTGGTACTTCTATGTAGATTACCGATGGTTGAATAAGATGACTATTAGGGATAGGTTCCCTATACATGTCATTGAAGAATTGTTGGATGAATTCAAGGGAGCTCGAGTTTTCACCAAGTTGGACTTACGATCCGGATACCACCAAATTTGAATGGAGGAGACTCACATAGACAAGACTGCCTTCCGCACTCACCGCCGGCATTATGAATTTTTTGTAATGCCTTTTGGGCTTACGAATGCCCCGTCTACTTTCCAAAGTCTAATGAATGAAGTGTTTGAAGAAGTACTGAGGAAATTTATTCTAGTATTCTTTGACGATATCTTAATTACAGTCATAATCGGGAAACACATGACCACCATTTGGAGAAGGTGTTCAGGATTCTGGAAGCACATCAGTTAGTGGTCAAGAGGGAGAAGTGCACACTGGCCAAGGAAGAAGTCCATTATCTCGGCCATATCATTTGCATTGGGGGAGTGAAGGCCGATCCTATGAAAGTAAAAGCCATGAAGAATTGGCCGCCTCCTAAGAATGTGAAGGGGCTCCGTAGTTTTCTGGGGTTAACAGGCTATTACCGCCGTTTCATAGTAGGGTATGGGCAAATAGCTAGGCCCTTGATAGAGTTGCTTAAAAAAATGGGGTTTACTTGGAATGGAGAGGCTACTGAGGCCTTTGACAGATTGAAGCAGGTGATGACCAAAGCACCTGTATTGGTCCTTCCCGATTTCACCAAAGAGTTTGTGGTGGAGTGTGATGCCTCGAAACATGGAGTGAGGGCTGTTCTCATGCAGCATGAACGCCCCATTGCCTTCTTTAGTACCGCCCTAAAGGGAAAAATGTGTTTCTTTCAGCTTATGAAAAAAAGTTGTTGGCCCTAGCACTCGCAGTCCAACATTTGAGACCTTATCTATTGGGGCGGCAATTTCGAGTCTGGACTGACCACAAGAGCCTTAAATTTTTGTTGGAGCAGCAGATTACCACGGAGATGCAACAAAAGTGGATTATCAAATTGATGGGATATGATTTTATTATTGAATATAAGCAAGGGAAGTACAATTAAGTGGCATATGAGCTATCTAGGAAGGAAGAACCGGCGACACTATGTGCGTTAACACTTCCTAAGCCAACATGGTGGGATTCAGTGTTGGAACTTAATGAGACTAGTGCCGAGATCAACGAGTTGACAGTGAAGGTGAAGAAAGGGGAATTGAGTACGCCGTGGTCAATCAAGGAACCTACAGACTCGGAATTTATCCCCATTATTCTGCAACAATATCATGATTTCAGCCACGAAGGGTTCTAGAAACAGTGCAGCGCATCAAGGAATGCTTCCACTGGAAAAATATGAAGGAGAGGGTTAAGGATTGGGTACGGAAGTGTGAAACTTATCAGCGAAACAAACATGACCAGCAGTTACTAGGAGGACTCCTGCAGCCGTTGCCCATCCCCACCCAAGTATGATATGATGTCTCAATAGACTTCGTGGAGGGGCTTCCTAAGTCCAAAGGGAAATCCATTCTACTGGTGGTAGTGGATAAACTAACTAAGTATGGCCACTTCTTACCTTTGGCACACCCATATACGACCGAGACGGTGGCCCAATTATTTTTCGAGCATATATTTCATCTCCATGGCCTGCCACAATCGATTATATGCGATCGAGATCCTACTTTCACCAGCCATTTTTAGACTGAGTTATTCCGCCTCCAGGGGACTAGCTTCAAATTCTCATCAGCATATCACCCTCAAACGGACGGGCAGACGGAAGTCGTCAATCGAACCATTGAGATGTACCTCCGATGCATCATAAGAGCTAAACCCAAGGATTGGGTTCGGTGGGTCCCTTGGGCTGAGTATTGCTACAATACCAGCTGGCACTCCACCACCAAGACTACCCCTTTCGCGGCAGTCTACGGAAGAGCCCCCTAACCCTTCTAAGCTACGTGGCGGGAACGACCGAGTCGACAGAGGTGGATGAAACCTTGCGAGCAAGGGATTAGGTGATTGAGCTCCTTCGTACTAACTTAGCTGCTACTCAAAACCGGATGAGGCAGATATATGACAAAAAACATGTTGATCAGGAGCTGGTCGTGGGCGATTGGGTCTATTTAAAATTACGGAGCTACCGCCAGCATTCAGTGGAACGTCGGCCTACCCATAAGTTGTCTCCTCGGTACTTTGGCCCCTACCAGGTACTTGAGAGAATTGGCAGTGTTGCGTACCGTTTGGAGCTACCTTTGGGAAGCAAAGTCCATCCTGTATTCCACATCTCATTGCTCAAAAGAAAGATCGGGGACAAAACATAAGTGGCTGACCAACCACCACAATGGGAATCGCATGCAGCACAAGAACCGGCGGAGATCCTAGCAACGCGATGATTGGCTGATAAGGAGGAGTTCCTGATACGTTGGAAAGGCAGTACTAAGGCCGAGGCTTCCTGGGAGGATAAGGAGATACTGCTGAATCATTATCCCACTTTTCCCATTCCTTGAGGACAAGGAATGGTTTTGAGGGGGAGGTAGTGTTATGGATCAGTAATTAGCTGAGGATGGATTAGTCATTTACTGTTATGTTATTTCTTTTATGTTAGTTTTCCTATTCACATAGAGAGCAGAGATCCCGATGCTTGTTATTTCTGTTTTATTTTCCCTAGTCCCTAAATACGGTTATAACCGATTTGCTGAGGCCTTCGAGAAAGGGCAGGCTGATTTAAGAGACTCTGTACACAATGATTAGGTATTGATGAATTAACACTTTTTCTCAGTATTACGAGTTTGTATTGTTCCATCTTGCGCCATTTCTGCCTATCACCATAGCTAGGAATAGACGCGGGCGGGGTTAAGGGACTGCCGAGGCCGAGGCTGATAACATGTACTCCCAAGCTAACTCCACACAGCTTGACTTTATATTGTGTGCTCACTTCATATAGTTCAATGTGTCTCCTTTCGTCTTTGGCTACTTTGTGTTGCTTTATATTTGAACAATCGGAGCAGTTTCTACTCCTAATACTTATCATTAGTAATTTTCCACTTTGAATTTTTGTCAGGATATTTCTAATTAACGTAGGTCTTAAAAGAGTAAACTACTGGTACTTATTTTTTTAATTATCAGATCTTAATAAAAACTTATATGTATTTTATGTGATTTTAATCAAATTAAACGATTAAAAATAGACACTACCAATAAAAATGTAAAGAGCCTTTTTTTGTTATTCCATTGTTTACAATATTATCTATTGTCTCAAAATTCTTTCTATTACAAAACTCCTTCTGTCGTTTTTCTTTTGTACCCACCTACCCACCTTGTTTGACTTCAAACTGTATTTTTTCAAAACTATAGAAATTTCACCTTCACAATTCAACAACCATGTGGATAAGGACCAGAGAAGTTAAAAAAATCGACAAAAGGTACGTCCTTTTATTTTTTTTTTTTTTGAGAGTTTTTCTAATATAGTTTCTCTATCGATTGGTAAATTTTTAACTTTAAATCTAATTAAAATTATATTAAAAATTAAAAAATTATGTAGAATCAGATAGCTTTTAATATAAATATAGCGGTTGAAAACAACTTATTAAGAGTTATTTTTTCAAGATCTATTAAAAAAACTCTCTTATTTTTTGGTGAGAAATTTGATCAGTAAAATCCATACTTTATACAGTATCACTTTTTAGAAGTTTTTAATTCGAGTTGAGATGTAATTTTATGTGAGAATTTTTTAGTGTAACAAAAAAAATTAAATATGACTGTTTTTAAGAGTTTTTTACTGCAGTAAAATTCGAATTCTAAATTCAAATCGGTGAAACAAAGGGACATAATGATTGAGTTGCAAAATGGTTCTCCAACTCTAGTATCAGGAGTACACTCAGACCATGAAGCATCAATGAAACGTCCGTAAGTTCGTGCCTTTCAGATTTCTTTTAGATTTGTTACATGCATGAATGTTTCTCGGTGAAGGTAGCCATTGTTTTACTTTCCGGTTTTTTACCACCAGAAAATCCAAAACCCACAACATGATTCAGTCAACTTTGAAGGTTTCTTTTTTTAATACAATATAAATAAATTACTTTTAAGTTAGTAACCATACTGACCTTTATATTTTTTTGCAAAGACAACCTTTTGATATTATAGTAAGCGAATTGAAAGTTCTTTAACCATAACCTGTCACTTTGGAGAGAGATAAATATTGAGCGTAGAATGCAAACTGTCAAACTGAAAATTTCCAGATAACCAAATTTATCACAAAACAAGCAAGGTTTTATTAAATCCGAACAAATTAATTGACATGCGACAAAAAAAAAAAAAAAAAAAAAAAAAAAAAAGGGGCAAAAAAAAAAAAAGAAAAAAAAAAAAAAAAAAAAAAAAAAAAAAACTGAGGTCAAAGACTAATAGATACGCAATTTCTCAACGTATTTACAATAAGTTGATAAAATGCAAGAATGAAAGCCTGCATCGGTTTCGAGCTTTCCCCTGCTTCCGAGTCGCTTTACAAGGATGAAAACCTTTGATCTTGTTTACAAGAAATAGGACCGCCGCTCGAGCTTCATGCACAACCGAAGAAGAAAAGAATTAGCCACAAACCCATGTTTTATAATTGCACCAAAAGTTGCAATCATCCAAGCATTATTCAAGTCAGCATTTACATATGAAGATACAATTTTCAACTTTGCTAGAAGGTCCAGACAATGAATAGAACACGATATAATCATACAATTTTCTACTTTGCTAGAAGGTCCAACAACGGATAGAACATGAAATACAGTATTTCCTAGAGCAGGAGTGTTTTGTTCTATTGCAGGGATGATCTAATGTTGAACTAAAAAAATCGTGAATTCCCTCGAGGGAAGAGGCCACCATTTCCATTACAAAAAATACTGCTCCCTTTTGTCTGATCGATAGCATACCTTTAAACGCTGAACTTGCTCTAATTTTATCAATTATGGGAACATGAATTTAAGAAACAGGAACTAAAAAAGAGTCGGACCGGATTACTATGGGAATAGTTGCGCGCCAAAGGACCAATGCTTACTGAAGAAGATGGAAAATGCAAAAGGCTGCACAATCTGGAATGGGAATCACAGAACTTAAAATGGGAGTTCAACTTTGACAATGAATCAGAATTTAGCAAAAGTTCTTTTTGCCATCTTGTGCCAATGATGCCAATGAATCAGCTTTATAAATAGTGTACATGTCACTACTGAACAAAAGTGCACGAATTAAGTCCACCCTCGACTTTAAAAGAAGTCGAAAATATGTAGAGACAGAAGAAATTTTGGCAAATATCTCATAAATATCAGTATCAACTGTGACCTTAAATCACGAGAGTAATTCAAGCCAACAATATGGCATGTGGAACATATTTCGAATTGAAGTAGAAGCACAAAGAATCCTAACTTCGGAAAATGCTAAACTAGAAATGAAGGCAACAATAAAAATGCTAAAATAAAACCACTGTCACACATATGATGTTCATCCAAATTACAAAATCTCACAAAGACAAGACTCGAATACAATTGAGTTTGAAGGGTCAATTTTTACCAAGTAAAGAAGAAGCGATCACTCAGCCATGGCCTGAATTGGACCAACTTCTTCTTCTTCGATGCGAAGAATGCCGTGGAGCGAAACTGTGGAGCAAAAGCTAATAACTTTATGAAACTTATTAACAGGGGAAGGCAATTGTGGAACTCTTCTCCAGCTACAACTTCTAGATTCATCGCTGATCTCACAAACACAAGCAGGGTATTTCCTGTGATATTCCTCATTGAACACATATATGAGATTTCCTAATCCCACGCACTTCAAGCTCGCGAATTTGTCATCTTCATCGCCATCAAACAATCCGCAGAGCAATTCCTGTGGCATGATCGCGATCTCGCTGAACTCCATCGTCTTCTCTTCGATCCTCCACAGGCTGAACGACTGTCCGACCGGCGAATTGCATATTCCGGCGAGAATGAGCCGGTCATGGCAGGCGATCAGGAACGAGAAGACAACGCCGGGAGGCCTGAGCGTCTGGACATCGCTCCAAACGCGCTTGTCCAAATCAAACGACGAAACGAAGCAAGAGTATATTCCAAAGATGTATAATTTTCTCCCACACAAGGCCGAGGAGAGCGATTGGGAGGAATTGCCGGACCTGAAATCCGCCGGCAGAGGCGGACAGATCTCCCAAGAGTCAGAATTAGGGTTGTAGACCTCTGCGGCGAGGCGGTCCTCGATGTCGACGAGATTGCCGATGAATCTGACGCCTCCGACGATGATGAAGCTTGGAAGGCGAGATGCGTCGCGATGGTAGTCGTCGAAGACGCCGACGAGAGGGTTGATCCGCGAGAAACGGAGAGGAGAAGGGACGCGCCAGGAGCGTTTGAGGATGCGAGAGCAGGAGAAGTTGGGGGCGGTGGTGAGGAAGAAGCCGTCGGCGCCGAGGAAGCAGGAGGAGGAAGGGTGGTGGAGAGTGGGGAAAATGGGGAGGCGGAACCAGAGATCGGAGACGGGGTCGAAGGCGAAGGACTGGTTGTTCTTGGAGGAGGTGTTGTGGAGGCCATAGAGGAAGAACCAAGGGAGACGGCAACGGGCGGTTTGGGCGGCGGTGGTGGAGAATCTTGGAGAGGAAATGATGGAGAACCAGAGCTTGCAGACGGTGGAGGCTCGGATTAGGGCTGGGATTGGGAGGTAGGAAAGGATCAGCTCCGTTAGGTGGGAGCTCAGGTTGCTGAACTCTGTTGCCATTTTTACTGGTTTGGTAGTGGAGACTGGAGAATGGAGGGAGAGGGAGATTATTATTATTATTATTATTATTATTATTATTATGAGGCTCGGATTAGGGCTGGGATTGGGAGGTAGGAAAGGATCAGCTCCGTTAGGTGGGAGCTCAGGTTGCTGAACTCTGTTGCCATTTTTACTGGTTTGGTAGTGGAGACTGGAGAATGGAGGGAGAGGGAGATTATTATTATTATTATTATTATTATTATTATTATTATTATGATTATTATTTATTATTATTTTTTTGGTGTGGAATAAGAGATGATGTGGACTTTTTGGTGATTGAGTGAGCTAAAAAATAAAAAATAAAAAATAAAGATAAGAAAACCGTGCAAGTTATGACATGTGGAAAATAGCAGAAATAAAAACGACATCGCTTTAAACCGCATTAAATGAGGGGAACGACAGGAAACAAAAACGACATCAAAATAATAAACGCCAACGAAAAGCGACATTAAATTATACCATCAAAGATTCAAAGGAAAAAGAAACTATACCATACCTCCGTTGCAGTCTGGTTCGTAATCGTCATCAAAATTTCTGCAAAGAAAGCCCTAATCTGCGACGGAGGAGATAGAGACTGCCGAGCATAGCCGTTCTTCTTCATCTATTCTCTTTTTCGGCTAAAGACTCTGGAGGAAAATAAGGTTTGGTTTAATTGGTAAACTGTTGAATTTCAAAGTTAAGTTTAATCTATCTGGAGTGAAGCTTTTCTGAAATTAATTATGGCAGTAAACCAAACGGATTTGGTTTTTTGTTTGATAATATATTATTGGTGCTTTTTTTTTCCTTTGTGTGTATGTCTTCTTCAAATCTTTTTGTATTGACAATATTGTCATTGTTCAATTTTGTAGAATATTGTGATGTATTTCGTATTTATTGATTGATTTATTTATTTTTTTGATGTCAGAGAAAGAAAATGGCACGTATTAGACGCAGAGAAACGGAGATAAAGAGAACGAGAAAGAAGAAGAACAAGTCAAAACTAAAAGTTAAGGTTGAGGATGATTTTTCTGCCAACGAGTATCCTGACTTTGAACAAGGTATTTTGATGCATATTTTGTGCTGTCAAAACATGTTAATTTAACATCACATCAAATGTGCAAAGCAAGAAGATTAGTCGCTGCAAGTGTACATATTATACACTTTTGGCCATCATATTAATGTCAGGCCGTTTCTATGCATCATTTGTATACGACTCTTGTAGTTCCTAAAGAGTATTTTGTATGTCATGATTTGCTGTCCTCACTTGTTGTCTCTGTTTGTATATTCTCTTGTCTATATGTTTTACATGTAGAAACTCATGCTCATATAAACATATATATATATCTTATTGTTAATAAGTTGAATAATTCTTTTTTGGCTTGCATACTAACTAATTCTTCTCCTTATTACTTGTAGTATCCAAGTTCTTGAAAAATGCTCATGAGGACATACTGTTCGAGGTATTTCTTAGACTCCCCAATTGTCGATCTGCCATTCTATTTGGTTCTATCTGTCGTCGTTGGCATTCTGTGATTTCACACCCTAAATTTATTCCGAATTTCATTCGCCACCATCATGACGAGCAAGATCGCTACTCAGTACCCTACACCATCTTATTTCGAAGAGCCGATGACCTTTTTTTCGACATGCAATGTGTTCAACCATTTTGTAAGCTATTCTCTGAGGAATCAAAGTTTCTCCATGGAAAGGGAGCATCTAGTTATTTGGACTTCATGCCTTCATCTGTGGTTATAAGGGCCTCGTTTGCTGACTTATTGCTTGTAGCATCTAGTGGCCGTCCTGGCAGAGATTACTATATTTGTAATCCACTTACAAAACAGTGGTTTAAGCTTCCTGAGGCTCCTAGAGGCTTTCAAACTGGGTTTGCATTAGTATGTATCCCCAACATTAGCAACTCACAACTTTGATTCTCTATCAACGGTCATTACGAATACAAGGTGGTCTTAATCCATAGTTCTGCGCATATTGGGGAAGATTGTTTTGCATTTCGGGCAACAATTTTTTGTTCTAAATCAGGAAAATGGAGCCAGTCACTCTTCTCATATCCACGGGCCAAAAAAGTCCGGTGTAGCGATTACGTTGATGTTGTTACATGTAATGGAATTCTATATTGGCGTGAATATACGTGTGCTTTTGACAGAATTGTTGCATTTGATTTGTTCAATGATCAATGTCGTGTCATCGACTTTCCTGATGACTTTTGGTCCGTGTGGCAGAATTCCTATGGCAAAGTACACTTGGGAGCTGTATGTGGAGAGCTGCGGCTGTTACAAGTTTTCAGCACAAATGAGGATTGCTTTGTTATGAAAGTTTGGGAATTGAATTATTCCACTTCGTGGGATTTGGTTCATGAGATATACTTGAAAAGGCCGCGTAAGACTAATAGTATGGTTGGGCTTACTGTTCATCCAGACAACAGTAATGTGGTTTTTATGATATGGGACAATCATGTTTTCCAATATAAGATTAAGGAAGACATGTATGAAAAGATCGACAAGCTTCAAGTATTTATCAATGCAAAGGTCGACTGGCTTCTAGATCATTTAGATGGAAAGGTCGAAAAAATTAAACTAGTTGTAAATAGACATGAACGATTTAGTACCTTCCCTCTCTTGCATCCTGCATGGCTAACACCGGTTCATTCACATCCTCCGTCTTTTTAGATTTTATATTTGGTTTCTTTCTTTCTTTTATTTTTTTTTTTTATAATGGGCCGTGTAATGTACTATTGACCTATTTTTATAAGCTATTTATTCTTTTGTAGTATGCTTTTATTTGTCACTGGGATTATTAGTATAAATTTATGTTTGAAAACTTGGAGACGTTTGGTTCATGGATTAGAACCATGTGATTAGAGTTATTTTTGATTTACGTGTATTTTTTATGAGAGAAAATACTGTAACGAACTACGAATCATGATTCGAATCAGAGAACGAATCTATGTACCAAACATCCTCTTATTCTTTTGTTGATTCTAATTGGTCAACCATGCCATCTCTCACTGCAGGAGGGAAAAGAAGCATAATCCCTTACTTAAGAAAGCTATAACAAACTAATGGGATTGAGCGATATTTTGAATAATCTAGATGAACTTGACTTGCCAAGAACAACTCTGTTATAAAACTAATTGGTTTTTGCTAAGAATGCAAAACTAGCTGGTTGAATGAGTTAAATGAGTTTTATGTGTTTTTTTTTTTTTTTTGGACGAGTCTTATCTTTGACCCAACTAAAAAGTTAGCTATAAATTTCAGTGACTTTTCAAGTTAGACGTGGGGATAATTGAGATTTTTTAGTTCTTATTTCACTCTCACCTATAAATCCTTGAATCAAAATTTGACCCAAAGCAACACAATACATCTGAAATGATGGAAATTAACAAGTAAACATTGAAAATAAATCCACGAAACTGAATAATGAATCTAAAAATATTATACGAGACTAGGAGAAACCATTAGCCTTCAAATGCTCTCAAGAGGCTCAAGATGCGCATACAGTCGTATGACTTTTGAGGAAGTGAAGTAATGAATTCTAAGCAACGAATTGTCCCACATCGCCCAAATAAGAGAGAGGGGAGTAGTGAATGGTGTATAAAATCCAAGTCTTTCGTCAGTGCAACTCAAAGGATATGAGCGAAACACTAATGTAATATTTATCAAAATGACTGAACAAAATAGATAAAAGTTAAAACTAAGATTTAAGAGTTGGTTTTCGTAAAATGAGAGCTCATCACCTGCATAAATGCAATGGTTGACGTCGTCATAAATGCCTTTAGTAAGGTGAAAGATTCTCCAGTTCTCCAATCACACGTGAGGAAGATCATGTGCCCACTCGTCCCCGGAGTTGCTTACTTGAACACTTGAGACGCCCTCAGAAGAGTTGCGTTGCTTACTTGAACAGTTGAGACGCCCTCAGAATTGTGGAGGTAGATAGGGTTGCTTACTTGAACAGTTGAGACGCCCTCAGAATTGTGGAGGTAGATAGGGAACTGTTGCATGAGAGGTGGTGGGATAATGTGCTCTGTAAGTGCTTGGGGCATTTCAAAATTCTTGTCAACGTCTGATGATGAAAGCATCTTGATGCAAATCAAATCTTCATCATCATATTGGGCTACGAGCTGTGGTGGCGGTGAAGGGTGCGATGACAGTTGCAATTGTAAAGGATTAAGAGGAAGAAATTGTTTAATTTTGGATCACTAATTAATAGTGAAGAGTCCCTAATTTGATTTGAATAGTTGTATAACAGAAAATAAGAAAAAAAAATACACGAGCACTTACTGTCTTCTTTTTAGGCCTCCCCTTCATGACAAATACAGAAGTGACCTCCCAATCTTCAGGTGAATCCCTCTAAAAGATCACTTCATGACAAATCATCAAATTTGTGAGGTCAAATAAATAACAAGTAATGCAAGTAAGCAAGCTAATAAAACTATGAGATGGTAAAAGGAAACCCCAGCCATGCATGTGGAATAATATTGGCATTATCATTCCCTTTTCCAATTACCTCGCTCTGCTTTGACCCAGCTCCGAATACTTACCACTTTTTTTTTTCTTTTTATGGCCCATTCATTAATGATACCTTTAATCGAGTAGGGCACCAAGCCAGCTTCCACTTGTGTCTCCTGGGCTGGTTGACCCTTTACCAAACCAAATAGCACAAGTCCTAACTAAAAGTATACCAAGCGGTTACCTTAAACAAGATATGTCTAATATTATGCAGCCTAAAACAGGGCGAGAAGAAATTCCAATCACACAGTATACAATAGTTCTAAGACGGCATATAAGAAATTCTAATCACACAGTATACAAATAGTTCTAAGTTTGATATATATATATATATATATGTATATGCACACATTGTGGCCATATCAACATGCCTTAAAAAATAAAATGAAGCAATTCAAATAAGATATCCAAATGAAATAGTGTCTATTTCAAATACTATATGTTGATTCGGCTTTTTCCCAAAAATAAATGAATAAACATTAATATGGTAATCCATTACCAAAACCCAATTTCAAATTGGCTATTGCATTATATGTAATTCACCATTGTATAACTAGGAGTATTCACTGTTTCATTCGAATTATTGAGGAAGCAAATATTATTTACCTAATTGGTGGTCAAGTATCTTACTAAAACAGGAAATGAGAAAAAATGATAATTACCAACAAAAAGATCTGATAACTCACCTCTGACGAGAATCTCCATAGCATGTCCGCCATTGAAGGATTCAAGAGTGCTCTTGATATCCAAATCCAATTCAGATTCCACCCATTCTTTGCGAATCCAGCGGTGAGAGATCTAAAAAAGCCTTCAAATCTTTTCGTGAGCACAAAGGAAAAGAAGCCTTTAGCCTTGGCGATGTGGCACTCTGGAAGAAGCTGAGCGTGCAAGTGGACGCGAGGGAGGCTAAGTGAGATGAACTCTGCGCGTGGAAAATCTCCTATTTCAGATGAAATTTTGATTTATTCCGGTTTTTGCTTCTTTTTACTTCCAATTAAATTGCCAATTACACCTTTCACCTAATTTAATTAGACAAATGAGGATTAAATAAATAAATAGAGGGGAAACTAAAATAGAAATAACATAAATAATTAAAATAAACCTACAAATCAACAAAAAATTCTCGCGAGCGAGCTAACTGAAATGCAAATGAGAGAGAAAAGAACTCTAGCTATTACATGTATTAGCAATATTTTAATTAAAGAAGATTTTAATTAAATTCATTACGAACACGTTTTGAATGAGCATATACTTAAAAAGGCCGCATAAGATTAAGAGTATGGTTGGACTTGTTGTTCATCCGAACAACAGTAATGCGATTTTTATAATATGGGACAATCATATTTTCCAATATAAGATTAAGGAAGACATGTATGAAAAGGTCGACGAGCTTCAAGTACCTATCAATGCGAAGGCCGATGGGCTTCAAGAACATTTAGATGGAAAGTTCGAAAGAATTAAACTAGCGGTAAATACACATGAACGATTTAGTACCTTCCCTCTCCTGCATCCTGCATGGCCAACACCGGTTCCTTCACATCCTCCATCTTTTTAGACCTTATATTTAGTTTCTTTTTTTCTTTTATTTATTTTTTATAATGGACCGTATAATGTACTATTGACCTATTTTTATAGACTATTTATTCTATTGTAGTATGCTTTTATTTGTCACTGGGATTATTTGGATAAATTTATGTTTGAAAAATTATTCTTTTGTTGATTCTAATTGCTCAACCATGCCATCTCCCACTGCAGGAGGGAAAAAAAGCATAATCCCTTACTTGAAAAAGCTATAACAAATTAATGAGACTGGGCGAGGCACAATGTTATAGGAGTAACTAAAGAGAAGAAATTTTTTATCCAATAACAACCGAGAGAAGACAAATTCAAAGCCAATTAATAATGTGCACACAGCGAAAAAGTTTCAAACCTCAAGGAATATGAGCGAAACACTAATGTAATATTTGTCAAAAAGACTGAACAAAATAGACAAAAGCTAAAACTAAGATTTTAGAGTTGATAATCACCTAGAAGTGGTTGATCTCATCTGATTTGTAAAATCTGAGCCGATCACCCGCATAAAGGCCTCTTGAAACGTGAAAGATTTTCCAGTCATGCGTGCGGAAGATCATGCTGGTCTCCGAATCGAATTCGAATGCGGAAGCGTGGTGGTGCGGGGAGGGGCGGATCGTGTATAACAAAAATTTTCATAAAACTTTTGAGATACTCTATAGATTATATTAATTTATGCACGAATAAATTAATCTCATTAATTCATTTGCTAAGAACTCAATCAGGAAAAATACCTGGAAGCCGACTCGGATGATAACTTGAGTTCTTTGACCACGAACAGTCCTTGCTTCAATCTTTGTGTTTAGAAAACCAATGTCTTCCACGTCAATTCCTAGAATCCACGAAGACG